ACGACAAGGGAACTCTTGGATCAAGTAGTGGGAGAAATTTGCTTTAACGGTGGACTTTTTGAAGAAACTAACCCGCTTTTTCGTTACATGGAGAGGACGGCAACGAGAACCTCCCTCGGTAAGCCTGACGGCAAGGGGACTCTCACCCATGATCCGTCTACCACTGAGGATATTTTACGACAGCATTGCGGTCGGTGCAAGCTGGATGCTGAATTCGTATCGAACAGCCATCGCTGGGGACCGAAATTGGTTAAGCTCATTTGAAGACGAACGCTCTATCCTCTGAGCTATCGCGCCTCTTTTAGTTTTATCAGAAATAAAACGAAAGAAAGTAGCACACGCTACTATATCAAAAATCTGGGGTTACCTATAATGATGAAAGTCTATTTTATATGTTTTGGTTCCAGATCTGAACCAAACTAAACAAATAGAATAAAAGCACATATAATTTTTAGTTTTGTTAAAACTAAAACGAAAGAAATTGGCACATACTACTATTAAAAAACTTGGGAAGGTATTTCAGATGTGATAAGTAAAAATTATTTTTTTCATTCTTTTGTCAACTTGAAAAACAAAGTTTTATAATGCCTTTTGTTTTCTTTTAATTTTTTCATATTTTTTGTTTCCTTGCTCGGCAAAAGTCAAGGATTCGATTAACGATGACATGAAAATAAATTTAGCTTGTACGCTTATGAAATGATTGTAACTAATATGATCACCAGACATTAGAGCTCCGGTTAAATTTTAAATATTTGGAAAGTGGTTGAAATTTTCATTCTCAACAATTTCTCTCAGGCCGTAATCTAATTATAGATTCTGTAAGTAGGGGTCATAAAACAATCGAAATTTGCTTTGTCATCGGAGATATTCATTATGGACACAAAGCTAATGGGTAGGTTTGAGCTCTCCATTTATTTGAAAAGTGGTAAGAATTTCAGCGGACAACAAATTGCAATTGCTGATTAAAGCAATAAATTCTGCTTATTGATGACAGGAAATGGTTGAAAAAGTGATGTCATCAACTGCTAATATTATGTTTTAATTTTAATGAGGAAATTAGTTATAAAGAGGGCAGTTGTTCTGGTTGTAGTTCATTTACATCGCTCTAGAGCTGCTCAATGGGCTATTGGCGACGGTCTGGGAAACATCCCTGAGGATGATCCGACGACATGCCATCACAATTTTGATCCTCTGCAGAAGGGATGGTACCCCCGCTTCGGTATCCCGACGATCTGCACGCGAAGTCGAGCACTTAATGGTAAAACAGTTTAACGAGAATCAATATCGCACACCCTCGGTTCTTACGCAGACTAATCCAAGTGGTCACCCACCCGCACACTGACCGCAGCCAGTGATGCTTGACTTCGCTCATCTGCTGGGAATCGTTTCTTAACCATCAGTCCACTGTTGGACTTATAAAGAGGGCAGAACTCTTATTGACTTAAAATTACTTTTGGTGGTAAAATAATGACGAAGCATGTTTGCAGCTGTCAGGAAGTAATGGGAACTTATTTTGCTAGACATCACAAATTTCCTAAACAAATATGATGACTCCAAGGATTTTACGTGACAAGACGAATAAGTTTTCGAATAAATTGGCGAAAAACTCAGGCTATATGGGTCAAAAGTTAATTGAAATTTGCATTATCATCTGTAACAGTGTGATTTTTGATTAACTGCATATTGCTGTTAGTGATAATATATCACTTAATTCTGTTTATAGCGGTAAAAAAACCCATCGAAATTAGAACTTTCATCAGACACAAAGTTACAGTGAATACTAATAAACTCGAGTTAGTAGAAAAAATTATAGGGATTTTGGTTGTTAAGAGTCATGTGTAGTGATCATATGGAAATAGGTTCTGCTTCTAGTAATCAGGAAATGATCAGGTAAATAGATTTAGTAAAGGTTTGCGTACTCTAAATAGTAAAAAAAAATAACAAAACTTAAATTGTACGACTACAACTTCAAAGAATAGAAAACTAGTTAATAAATTATAGTAATTAAATAACATCCTTCTAAAATTAAAATTAACTGCTGTTTTGGTCATCCCTTAAAATCCATTGAAGTAAAAGAAATGAGGTCATTCATAAGCCTTTAGCTTCAAAAATAATTCATTTTAAATAAATTTTAAGACAAAAATAATGTCTAAAAACTCTTTTTCTTCTCTGCGTAGGTTTTCCATTAACAAAAGAAATTTCAGAAACGTCTGAAAGCATCTTACTGGTTTCTCTATATTCAGCCCACATATGATGGGGGAAGGATAGTCAAAGGAATGCGAGATGAGAAGAGATGAGCGTGAAAGGACTCTTTTCGATTTTTTTCCCAAAAAAAGTAGCTAAAAGTAGGGAAAAAATCTGAGATAAAAATGAAACTGTTTTGAAGAGGAATGTCAACTTATATTCAATATGCTTAGAAGGATTCTTATCAGAACTGAACACGCATAACCAAAGGCCATTTTGTAGCAGTGTGTCACGTGCAAAAGCGGAAGCATGAAAGTAAAAGGAATGCTGGGAAAAATGCCACATCGTCATCATATGAGGATTGTGACTGATGTACATTGAAGTCTGGCAAGAAAATCTCAAATAGATTTATTTTTTGGGAGGGATCTTATTGCGGCAAAGTTTTATTTTTTGTAGAAGTCGTAAGCCCTTATATTGAAGCTTGTAGTTTTAACTATACAAAATACTTTAATTTTACATTTAACAATTCTTATTTTATTTTATTTTATAATCGTCGTTGAACAGCAGACCCAATCTTCTGGTTTAAGACTATTAATGTTCAACTCCGTAGTCTTTCAATTTTGAACCCAATCCAGAAGACAAAGGAACTCCCGGTATTGGGAGAAATTTGCTATCGTGGAACACTTTTTTGATGGATCATGACGTTACATGGAGAAGAAAACCTCGGAACTCTAACCCATGATCCGCCTACCACTGAGGATATTTTACGCCACCACTGCGGTCGGTGCGAGCCGGGTGCGGAATTCATATCGACCAGCCATCGCTGAGATTCGAACCCGGTTCGTCTTATTTGAAAGCGAACGCTCTATTCCCTGAGTCGCCACAACTCTTACAATGATTATTGATGAAAATCACAGTCAAATAGGTTCATAAATATCATAATTTAATGATTTGCAGATCAATTCGGTGAACTATATCAACTGGTCTCCAAATTATTGCATTGAACTCGTCAATTATTAATAATTCTGCTTTCTATCAGACCAAGTCTGAATTGCAGTTTACTTGTCACAAAAAGCCTTATTTTCAGATTTTTCAGAATTTTCGAAAATCCTTTATACAAAATTGCAGCTTAATAGATATAAAGAAGGTATAAGGAATGTCGTTGTAATCCTGTTGTATTTTTTTAAATAGATATAAACTATTAATATATCGATTGAATCTGACTGTTTTTAGGTCGAACAGTTTAACTCAAACAGACCATCGAAACTTAGCTACCCGGTCTTACACTATTTACTCATAATATTGTGCATGCCACTCAAAATAACCATTGGTTTCATCAAATGTAGAAATTATGTAGCATTCATGTTTTCTGGGGGATTATGATAAATGAATCAAAGGTTTGATAATAACCGTATTTTGATGGTGGGAACAAAACACCTGAGATGTTTTCGATTTCATACAATGAATTAGACAGAGTCTGAAGTTTATTCTGTTCTAAAAGTTCATTAAAATTATACTATGTCTATTGTAAATATTATTTCTTAAAAATATTTAATTTCAATTTTAAATTTTAAAAAGGGTGACAAAGCGATGTGTTTGTGCTAGTCTGATTCCTTCTGATTCTTAAAAATTATTATTATTATATATTTTAATAACGGCACTGAACTTTCGTTCTTTGCTTTAGAAGATGCCGAAAGTGTTGCTCATTTATCGTTACCCAGTGGGCACCTGTGAACCAAAGTCACGGAGGCGAGCAACATTACCCACGCCACAAATACCCGTTCATAGGGTGGGCCACATTCATACATTCACACATCAGAAGACAACGCAGAGAGAGCGAAACATCCATGCCTAGAGCGGGATTCGAACCCCCAGCCATTGGTTTCTCAGTCAGGCACGCTAACCACTCGGCCACCTGGCTGGTCTTAAAATTTATTTATTTATTTCTTTGTGATTATAAAGCTGGATTCTATCTAATCCATGGAGATGATCTGGTCGCCAAAAGCGTGCGGATATGAAAAACCTAGAACAGCACCCATTTTGTAAATGGATTATAAATAACACTAGCTTTTATTATTCGTAGGTGAATTTGAAGAATTCTAATTTTCGAAATTGATTTATTATGCTTAAAAATGTTTTTTTTTTTAAAAAAAAGCCTTTTTCAGTTCTAATTATTCTAAAACACAGATGTGTTTCAGATTAAAATAAAGTAGTATGACATGTCAGTATCATTCGGCGTTGCGTTGAAATAATGGTATGCTCAAAATTTGAATCACAAAGCGTTATTTTGCTGAAACATTTGAAACAAACTAATTATAACTTTAATTAAACATTTAGACGGTTCCTTCCGCCAAAGCAAATACCATCGCCCCTGCATTCGTTTTCAATTAACTTTTATCTCGGCGGATAATAAAGCATCCGTCTTCGCGCCGGAACTGTTACCGAGCTTAGAAAACAGGAGCTAACTAAAGTTAAATAAAAGTTCTTCACCCGTTTGAAAGTCGGATTTTCCACACCTCTGCGGAAGGGAACAGAGCGCATGCGCCCCCCATCTCTTCGAGTGCCCTCAGTTTTTGGGACTTCAGTTGCTTCCTCATCTTCCAAGGGGGCGAAGTGCCAAGTTTTCTTTCCCGCCAAACACACCGCTTCGTCGCACAAAGAACCATTTTCTCTTATCTCACGTGTTAGTCTTCCTAACTTGTTGCATACACTTGGCGCAATTTATTTTTTTTTCGCCAAAAAAATTACACGAAACAATTAAAGAAAAATTAATTATTAATACAAAAGTATATAAAAAAAAGTTGGATTTCTATCAGTGGATTTTTTTTTATTATTGTTCATTAAATACTGATAAAAAAAATTAGTTTTTGGATAAATAAATGTGAAAAAACATCAGTCATACTGATTATGTACTGTAACTTCAAAAAGTGAACACATTTCCTGCGAAGTGATGAATATTTTTATTGTGTGAATACCAAGTAATTGTGGATTATGGTTTTTTCAAATATTATGTGGATAAAGATTGTTGTTTGTGCTTGCAGTTTAACAGTTATACTTTGTCGGAATTTTAACGGTAAGATTCTTTATATGCTTTGTAATGCGTAGATAGAAATTGGACTATTCTAGTTAAAACAGATATAGAGAGTAAATAGTTATGCTCTTTAATTGAGGAAATATATTGGGATTGCGAACTTTAAACGGATTTCTGAAGCTGTTTTAGTTAAAAATGTACAAAGATAATATCAATCAAATAATATAATATTTTGCGTTTTTTTTACAAAATATTGCGAAAGAATTCTTAGATTTATGCTCTGGAAAACGAGAGTATATGTATCATGCACACACTGTCCATCATTAGTCAACACATTTTATATTTTCACATTTCGTTCCTGTATTTAAATAAATGTATCTAGTTCTAAACATTAATATTTGTCATGTTTCTGACAACTTGTTAAAGAAAAAATTACCTATAAAGTAGTTTTTCCTTTTAACATGATAATAATTGATTGCAGTAACACATTATTGTTCCATGTTCCCTGCCATATCCAAGAAAAAGATATATAGGCAAGAAAAAGAGTGAAAAATAACTACAATATTTATATAAGTGAAAATCAGTTATAATATTAAAGTTGAAAATCGGACACAACACACAATACCGAAAATCTACGGGAAATTTATGCAATAATTGGGCATTTTTCATATGGTACTCCGTATCGTGTAGTGAGCTAAAACAAAATGTTAACTCTCTGAATAACTTTTGATCAAATGATCGGAATTTTAACACAAGAACTCAATCTTATTAGTCTGAAGGTCTTACCTTAAAATGATAATTAATTAGAACCATCTGTATATTAAGTTCTAAATAGTGAAAGTACAAAAATGTACTTTCTTTGAGTACTTTCTTGAGTTGGAGGTAGCCGCTGTCTAGAAAACATTGCCAAAATATTGCTGACAATTTCACTTTATTGTATTTCGCTGTATTTCTAGAAATTTAGTGAGTGAAATAATTTTTGTACAGGATTATAAAATTTGCTTATCCGAAGATAATTCCATTCTGAAAGAGCAATTTTACTAGCTATTTATTTTTCTATAACATTTTTTAATAATAGTTGGAAAAATTGAATTGCAAGATTAGTTTTTTAAGTATGTAATTTTAAATGACTGGATAAACAATTTGAACGAAATCGGTTCAATAGTTTCTGAGTCAACAAAATTTACGAAGTCGTGTACACAAATTTAAATTTCTCGAGAACTATTCTACTGATTTCGTTCAAGTTTTGTAATTTGTCATTTAAATTTACTTGAGTTAAAATATTGTAAATAGTTAGATTTATTAAACAAAAAAATGTAAAAAATAAAAAAAATACTTGAAATTTATTTTTTACGTGGTATTATCTCGGGATGAATGAATTTTAAACTTGTTTTCGAAAAGTTTTTGATTCGCTCGATAAGTTATCGAGATAGCGAAGTTCAGAAAATCTGGAATTAACACTCAGGTGTCCAAACTTTCCATCGCTCACCTGCCTAAACTATTGGGATAACAATTTCGAGATTGCTGCTGCCATTTAAATATTGGAGGTCAAAAAGCTGAATATGCCAAAAAAGGTATGATTATTCAGAGAAAGTAGGTTTTCGTCTCTAATTACGTAAATTAAAATATTGTAAGCATCTGTATATTTAAGATTAGGCCCTCTGACCATTAAGTTTGAGTAAGTAAATCCCCCATCAGATCAAAAGTTTTTTGTACATTTCTTTTTTTTTGCCCTCTGTACACAATGCCAAATCATATACAAGTAAAGTATGTATGATTATTTAATACATTTCATTTGTATTATTCTGAAATATTATTAATACTATTAATTAGTATTTTCATAAGGCAGCAAGCATATTTGCATTTTATTTATTCTCGTTTTTAATAAAAATGCATATACTTATGTAATCGTCTTATATTTTACTGGGGAACAATTTCTTCCCCTTCATTTATACAAATTCTTGATCTTGTCCAACTCGAATGTGGGTATTTTAAATCTAAAAATTAGTTTTGTTCAAAAAGCTGCAATTTTTTAACAGATATTTTTAGTCTATTTTCCTTTTTTTTTTTGAAATGTACAAGTTTAACAGCGTTATATATAACAAGTTGGTAACGTAAATGTTGAAGCGAACTCTTAAGAGAGTTAGAGCAGAACATCCAGAATGAAATTCTATAGGAAATGTCATCGAACGCTGCAAGGGGAGCTTCCCTATTATATGCCCTGTTCAGAAGAAAACGAAGAAGCAGTTCATAGGGAAGCACCCGCAGCGGCTTATGACAAAATTTCCAGGTATGGGTTCCCAGATAATTTTAATTCTAATAATTTGTCTTAACTTCACTATAAATTTTCGCACCATTTAAGCTCAAGTTTTTACTTGCACATTTCGACCAAAAAATATACTAAAAGAATGTTAAAAATAGCTTGGGTATTCAGATTTTATAAAAAACAAAATTACAGTCTTTAATATAATCATCATGACAAACTTAAATGATAATTCTGTTAAAAATTTACAAGTTTGTGCCTCTCGTTTCATACTGGTATTTTATATCGTCACAAAAATCATAAAGAATGATTTAAAAATGAAATTTTCTAACGAAAAGACATCGAAAAATAAATAGTTGAAAAATGGAAGATCTTGTATACAGTTTAATGCTCTGAGGTAATTAATTCAAGGGGCTTCCAATTCAACTCTCTAACAGAAAATATCAATCATACTATTAAAATATCCAATCAATCAGGCTTAGGTAAAATTTGCATGTTTGTTTTTCATAAAGAATTTGAATAACTGCTTAAAGAAAATGCATTTTTTCTTTCGCAGTGACGGAGTAGTTCTTTTCAAACGAAGTGAGAAGCAAAAATAAATAAATAAAAATAATGCACTTTTCTCTCGGTGTTATTTTATACTTTTTATGTTACATTTGTTATTGTGTACATTACTTACATTTTCTAGACAGCGTATACACTTACAAAAATTTGTAAGTGCATATGTTACAAGTAGTTAAAATAACAATCTTTAGAAATTTATGCAATTGATAATAACCATATGTAAATTAAAAATATTTGTAAGTAGATTAAACGTATCAAATAATCTATTTAACAGGCTTACAAAACTTATTTAAATACCTCTGAACTGGTACTTGCTAATGCAGATTGCATTTTTGGGTAAAATTACTTTTTAAGAACAAAAAGTACATAAAGAAATATCATTTACTTATTTCTCATTAGTTACAAAAATAACTGTTTGCCTAAAATATGAAGAAAAAAATTTAGATTTTCAAATAGTGACTACAAATTTATTTAGATACTAGATTCAACTAGATTCAGAAAAGAATGAGACTAACAATTAAATCGATTAAACATAAAATAATTCAACAATTAATTTAATATTTTTTCATAAAAATATTTTTTTCGTCAGCAAAATGACTAAAATTTCCACACAATACATTCAGAATTTTATTGATATATCTTTAAAACTCAATCGTGATTGATTAGAAAGACTCTGAAAATCACATTCGTCATTTTAAATTTCATGATGTCTTAAAATTACTTTAACACAATGTCAAACTATATATCTATTTCATTAAAAATATCTATAAGCTATTATTAACTTATATCCATATAGCTAAATATCTATTTAATCAAGTTAAGTATCTATAATTTAATAATTTTTAATTGATCATATCTAGATCAAATAGCTTTTTCTACATACGAATGGTGCATTTGTATTTGTGCTATAACTTTGAAAATGTCATTGAAAATATTTTATTTTTTTTATTTTTTTTAAGTTTTAATGTAAATAAGAATATTTTAAAAATTAATTTTGCAATTTACCACTCGACAACTTACATTTTATGTCCAAAAACAGTTTCTTCGTCAGTCATTTTAAGTTTTAATGTTAATAAGAATATTTTAGAAATTAATTTTGCTATTTACCACTCGACAACTTAAATTTTATGTCCATAAACAGTTTCTTTGTCAGTCATTTTAAGTTTTAATGTTAATAAGAATATTTTAGAAATTAATTTTGCAATTTACCACTCGACAACTTACATTTTATGTCCATAAACAGTTTCTTTGTAAGTCATTTTAAGTTTTAATGTAAATAAGAATATTTTAGAAATTAATTTTGCAATTTACCACAAGGCAACTTACATGTTATGTCCATAAACAGTTTCTTTGTCAGTGATTTCTTATAATCGAAACGATGCCATATACGTATCATTCAAGTTGCAATTTTCTCGCCTAAAAATATTCGAAAAATAGGATGAGTAATAAAAAAAAAAACTCAAAACTTCACAACAATACTACCCGTACACCGTACGCGATGATTTGATTTCAATTTGTAGTAGGAAGTGAGGATTTCACGCGGTGATGTACCCGATTCAGGTGGTGCCAATAAATGTGGTTGGCGAAAGTTGTCTTAAGATCAGTTGCTGATGGATAAATAACGTGATAGGTATTGGCGTTAAAGTCTGCCATTTCATATATAGCGAGGTAGGCTTCTAACTCCGTTTACCCAATACCTTCCTTTTTTTCCTCTATTTGTAGGATCCAACAATATTGACGTTCCAATTAAGCTTTTAATATATAGTACTTAGTACTCAATTCTGAGATTTTCCAGCGACCACAAAGGCATTTATTTTTCTAAATAGAAAAATAAATATTCATTCATTGTTTTGTTAACTATTCTGTAAAAAGCCATGCATTCAAGAAGCACCACATTTTCACCTCAATATTTCATGCATAATAAGAATAATCATCATAAGCTTCCGTTCATGTATTTCTCCTTAAAACGAAATGACCTCCCTGTCGAAAATTTGAGACCACTTTATCAGTATTCCTTTGTCAAAACAAGTGAGTGTTTATAAGACTATTTAGGTAATTTCGAAACCAACTTTCTGAAACAGGAATAGCCAACTACCTTTTTAATCCTCGATTCCTAAAATAGGACAATTTTTCATTTCCACCTAAAACTGGAGACCCTAAAAAGGTACTTACGTAGCGTTCACGTAACTACGTGTAATGCAACCAGGTGATTCCC